CAACTTTCTTATTCTCCACTGGACTTCAAGATTTTATCTGTCTCTGATTTTCTGCATTTTGAATATGAGATTGCCATATGTCAACCTTTCAACATTTATTCTAATTGGTGTTCTCTAAAGCCTCCTGGATCCATGGTTTGGCACCTGTCATTAATTTTGGAAAATTCTGACATCTACTTCACCTATTTCCTCTATTATTTTTTTCTTCTTGACTGAAAAAGAGATTCTGGTATTCCCTTTATGCTTATGTAATACCTTTTGTTTTTGTTTAATAGAGTTCTTTAATTTTTATTTATTATTATTATTATTTTAACTTGCAATAGGGCATGTGCATCCACCAGCAAGAGAGAAAGTGAGAAAGCAAGCCACCAGGTCCAGGGCTTGAACCACAGCTGGCCACATGGGAGTTCAACACCCTAAGCACCACACCACCTGCTGGCCCGGTTAACACCTTTTATAACTGTTTCACCCTTTCTAGATACTCTATTCTGTTTTTCCTTATTTTTTCTCATTGTATTTCAGTTTTGGAAGTTCCGGTTTTTCTCTTCAAGCTCACTGGGTCTTAGTCTATCAGTAAGCTCATCAAAGGTATTCATTTCTGTTGATTTTTTACTAGCATTTACTTTTTTTTTTTTTTAATAAAGAGAATGATTTTGCTATAGAGGGTTTGCACTTGCCAGAGAGACAGAGAGATGGAAAGCGAGAAATCACCCCTCAGAGGTGTGGCCACTCCATATGCAATCCCTTTTCCTCTCAGGATTTTGGACATGCACGCACACACGTTCTGCATGAGTTTTAACACACTGGGTCCAGGACTTGAACTGTGGTCAACTACATGAGAATCCAGAGATGTAACCATTATGCCATGGGCTGGTCCCTAGTATTTACTTTTGACTTATTTTCCAGTGCTCTGCTTAACCTTTTTTTTTTTTTTTTTGTTTCCACATTGTCCACTTTTTCTTTTATAGCCATAGTATACTAATCATAGCTTTTGTTTAAGATTTTTCTGCCATAGAGCATGTGCACTCACCAGGAAGAGACAGAGAGAGAGGGAAAGTGAGAAATAACCCCGCCCCCTGGGGAGATGGCCATGCCACAATTCTTTCTTTTCCATTTTCCTCTCAGGATTTTGGACATGTATGCACATGTGCCCTGCATGATTTTCAAGCCACCAGGCCCAGGATTCGAACTGTAGTCAGCCATGTGGGAGTCCAGTATCTTAACTACTACACCACCTGCTAGCACTGTGTTTATAATTTTTAAAGCAGTGGTCTGCTTTATGAACATGGTCAACGAAGGATCTATTAACAGTTCTCAATTTTTCTTTGGGTTAACCTCACCTACAAAAGCATTTCCCAAACTGTAGTTTTCTGCTTAAGATATTAATTGATGTTTATGGAGAGAAAGGAGAAAGGGAAGGCAATACTTTTTTTTTTCATTTTTTCATTTTAAATTTATTTACATTCATTCACTGTACATCATTACAGTATACAAAATAAGATTTTCCATCCAGAAAACACTGTATATTGACTTAATCAAGGATATTAGCATATGTGTTGTCAACGAATAATTTTCTAGTTCTTGTTTCTTATATATTTTGCTTTTTTTCTTCTCCCTATATTCCCTACCCCTCACCCTCTGCCACTTCCCACCTCCTCCCACACTGTCTGTGGTATCTACAGATAGTTGTATTTCATGCTTTTTTTCCTCCACATCCTATTGATTCACTAAAGATCTTAATTGATCTAAATATTTTCAAAAGCAAGAGCAGCTGATATATACATATTTATGAACACATGTCTAACTTTCAGCATAAACCTCAGTGAGTAAAGTGAACATACAATAAAGTACCACCTACCTGGGGCTATATAGCTTACTGCAGTCATTAAATAGGTATTTTTAATGCATTTTTAAATTTCAAGGAAAATAGTTTTAGTTTTAATAGATCAAAATCAAAAAATATTAAGAGAGATTTACTTAAGACTTAAATTCAGAAAAAAGGTTAGGATTCAGTTCAAATAGTAGGTAGATGAACCTATCAACAGTTCAAGAGAAGACAAAAGTCCTTAAATCTGGAAATCAAAGCAAAGAAGAAAATCAGCAGCATTTTAGTCTAAACTCAAAATGTACTTCACCAGTTCAGTCTCATGTAATTAATCTCTCTTTTATAGAATTTGCAGTGTTACTGTGGTCTGATCTTTCCGTTTAAATTCTGGAAGATAACATTCAAGTCTGGACTTATCCCTACCATTAGGTTGGCCATTTTCTTTGTTGTTTTTTGTACTCTTATTTCTATGTGTCCGACTTTAGTTTCCCTGGCGTAGCACTCCCTTCAGCACTTCTTGGAGAGCTGGTCTGGTGTTGGTAAATTTTTCCAGGTTTTGTTTATCTGAGAATGTTTTTTGTCTTTTTTTCCCACATGGAAGATAATCTCGCAAGGTATAGTATTCTTGGTTTGAAATTTTTTTCACTTAACACTTTGAATATATGTTCCCACTCTTTACTTGCTCGCATTGTTTCTGATGAGAGCCATGTTAGCTTGATAGGATATCCTTTGCAAGTAACTTGATATTTCTCTTGTGTATCTTGTTTCTGTCTGTGGTTTTGATCAATCTGTGATGTGCATTGGAGATTTTCTTGGGTTGATTCTATGTAGAGTCCTTTGTATCTCTTGGGTCTAGATATCTGAATTCCTCTCTAGGTTTGGAAAATTTTCTTCCAAGATTTCATGGAATAGATTATCAATGCCCCTATTAGTTTCTTCGCCTTCTGGGATACTGATTATCCAGATGTTTGGGCATTTAATTGTATCTAGAATTATAAACTCATATAGTAAGGCTCGTTTTGGGGGTTATTTTCTGTCTTTTTTGGTGAATTTTTCTAGGTCTGAGGTTCTGTCTTCTTTATCTGAGATTCAACCTTGTGCATGATCTAGTCTGCTTGTAATACTTTCGAGGGAGGTTTTGATTTCCTGTATTATAGCCTTTATCTCTTAACAATTCCATTTGCTTCTCTTTTATGGTGGGCATTTCCTCTTTCATATGTTGTAAGAACTTCTCCTCCTGGAGTTCACTGTCTCTTTTCTCCTGCATTTTCTGGAGTTTCTTGTCTCTCTTTTCTTGCATCTACTAGCTATGAATACTTTTTTGAGAATTTTTTGGTATAGGATGTATGCACTTGCCAGAAAGACAGACAGAGACAGAGAAACAGAAAGCAAGAAATCACCCCACCCCGGGGGGGAGGAGAGATGGCCACGCCTCAGTCCCTTCTCCTCCATTCTCCTCTAGGAATCGTGGCCACACATGCACACGTGCCCAGCATGAGTTTAAGCCACCAGGTCCGGGACTCGAATCATGGTCAACTATGTGGAAGGCTAATGACAGAGCCATTATGCCAACTGCTGGTTCTACCATGGATACTTTAAATTCTTCATCTGATATTTCCTTGTAATGTCTGTGGAGGAAGAAGAGTTATTCTTTCCCCTTAGGGTTGAGATATTTTCTTGGCTTCTCATATTTCTTGTGCCTTTGTGGTAATTTCTGGTCATCTGATAATATTATACATTTTTAGAGTTACATCTGAGCATTCAGAAGCATGCAGGGGGTGATCTGCAATTTGTAAGCAGTAGTTTTTCTCTTTATGCAGCAGATTCCATGGAAATTGAGGATAATGCTGACTCTGGCTAGATCTGAGGGGCAGAAGGGTGAAGTCTGGGCAGAAAGTCTTCAGTTGTCCTAGTCCCTGAAAGGGGTCACTCGGAATGCAAATACAGATGACTGGTAATTAGCTTGTCCTTGCTTGATCTGGGAGGCAGGAGGGTGAATTCTGGGCAGAAAATCTTCAGTTGTCCTCATCCCTCAAAGTGGCCACTCAGAACTCAAATACAGTTGACTGGTGAGTGGCTTGTACTGGCTAGATCTGGGGTGTGAAGTCTGGGCAGAAAGTCTTCAGTTGTCCTAGTCCCTGATGGAAGGCAACACTCTTAAATGTTTGAAAAATAATATTTACACTATCTTAAAAATATGCCATTCAGAAAGTTGTCACATCTGTGAATGCAAGCACATGGCTTGTAGTGGCCCCTAAAGTAAGAATACATTACATCTGGTTACAGCATCACACAAAGGCAACACTGCCCTTGGCCTGTCATCCATTCAATGACTTATGGTTTCTATTAGAATCCCAGCAATTCCACTCCTGGATGTCTACCCACAGGATAGGAATGCACTCAGTCAGAAAAATACTTGCACATCCATATTTATTGTGGCATTGTTCACAATTGCTAAGATATGGAATCAACCCAAATGTCCATGAACAGATGAATGGACTGAAAAAGTGTGGCACATATGCACTACAGAATACTTCTCATCCATAAAAAACAATGAGATCTTAGCATGTGATAGAAAGTGGACAAAGTAGAAGACATACTCTTAAGTGAAGCAAACCAGACTATGAAAGAGAGGCATATGTCCCCAGTTAACATAAACCGAATGTCTACACTCTATGACAGAAACTGAAATATTGGACAATATAAAGGCATGGAGAGCAGGGCTGGCAAGTGATATGGTGGTTAAAGGCGCTGAATTCCCACATGGCCAACCGCGGTTTAAGTCCCAGATCTGGCAGTTTGCTTTCTTGGTTTCCCTTTCTCTCTCTGGCCAAATTAAAAAGTAATAATAGCAAATGGAATGAAACAATTTAAAAACAAACAAAAACGACATGGAGAGCAACTGTGGGCATTAGAGACAGTGTAAGAGGAAGATGGGAAATGGCAGAGGGTGAGAAGGAGGGAATAAAAAAGTCAAACAGTTAAACACAAAATGGAAAATTATCCACTAAAGGTAATAGGTAGGGTAATATCTTTGTTTGGGCCAATAGTCAGTGTATTTTGGATAGGAAAATTCATTTTACATGCTGCAGTGATAAACAGTGAATGAAGGTAAATTTTTTAAAGTGTTAAAAAATAGAATCCTGATCTTACATACTTTTTTTTTTTACACAAAACCACTCAGACTACATTCTCTCCCTCTTACTATCCCACCAAAGAGAACAATCATCAATGACAAAGAGCAGTTGCAGAGAAGCAACACCAGGAACTGGCTTCACACTCAAGCGAGAATGCTGCGTCTCTTCCTTGTGGTTTTTGGTGGTCTATACAATCAGAGAAACATCTCTAGTTAGGAACTACAGAAATAATCCCTGAAAGTATAGTCTTCCTACACACTTTTTTTACTTTAATTGATAGAGGGCACATGTGCTCACTGTAGAGAGGTGGGGGAGGAGGAGAGGAAGCATTCCTCAGCCAGGAATAGTCATGCTACAATCCTTTTTCTCCATTCCATCAGGGAGGATGGAATGTGCCCAGCATGTTTATCAAGCCAGGGGATAGGATTCGAACCGCAGTCAGCCATGTGGAATCATCTCCCCGTGCACTGTGTTTAACCACTGAGTTACAAAGCTGGCTCACACATATTTTCATATTATATCTGCCATTTCTTTTGTCTTTAATTAGATAAAGTTTATTAAATAGTTATGTTATAAAGAGGAAAAAGTATTAGCCAAATGATCATTCTTCAGTAATTAGTTCATCTAAGGAATCATTTGACGTTCTATTCCAATCCATGTGCTCATTACATCTTATATACTCTACTTTTACTTCACAATGCACCACTGAAAAGAGTTCACTGTCAGTCAGTCTGTGCTCTAAGACTATGAGATAGTGTTAACCTCTGTGCAGAAAAAAGAACTATCAATGACAAAACTATATAAAGCAGATTTTCCAAAATGTCTTTATTTTGAAAACCTATAGTTTCAATTTAATAAAAAATATCGCCATGAAATATCTAATTTTACAGAAGCAGAACTAAACAAACAAAAAATACAGTTAATTAGAGGCTATCCAAAATAAACTTACAATTTTAAAATTTGAATACATAATCCTTTCTTTTAAATAAACAGGTTTTGTTTAAGATAGTTTTCCTCTTAAACATCTGACATACACATAATCTTCTCAACAGAACCAGACAACCTCTCAATAACTTCACGAATAAGTGCTTCTATTAACTTGAAAAATAAAGTAACCCCCCAAACCATCCAATTACTGATTTAGTCACAAAACGCCATAAAGCCAAGTAAGTAATTGCTTGAAACACATCTACCTCTTGAAAATGAAATCTACACCTAAATTGTGAAGAGGAATAAGATTTTTATTAAAAAAAGGTTGAGACTGGACTGGCTGATTTACTTTCTATCAAATTTATCCTACTGAGATTTTTTTCATAATATA